AAATGTCCCGCGACGGATTTTTATGTAAAATCATGTGTTTTTTTTTTTTTTTGCAGAAGTTATGAGCGGTATTGTAGACTTACATGCCTGTTAAGTTTTTTATTTCGCGATGAAAATTGGGCGTGAACGACAATGACCAAATTATTACTAAATATCACATATATGTCCAAAAAAACCCGCAAGATTATTCCCAACATATTGGCTATTCAAACTTCCATTCTGTCTGGCACAGTGGTAAGTGGAGCAACAAGATTATCCTTTTTAGAAGCATTGTGAGAGCAGACAGATTTTCCACGTACAGTTACCTAAACTACTCGTATTAGCTGACGGTGAAAGGCAAATATAATGCAAACGTTAAAAAAGTAACCTCCAAGAATGCCACGAGTTCCACAATGCAGTACATAGTTATCGTAGGCCATGTCATTATCCAATGGAATATATTGCGAATAAGGCCAGTTTTGTCTTTTTTCCCAGCTGGAAACACCTGCAACACAATATCTAAACTCGATCAATCAAACTTTCGCTTACTGTAAGAAAAAACTTTTAAATCGTGACAACATACCGGTTCACACAGATAATTTACTAGAAACACAAAGAAGAACCATATATACTGTAAACCAAGAAACCCTAACATTATCCATGTAAACACATTCTTTGATGGGATCACCAGACCCCAGACACCGTGGTCAACGGCACTTAACATGGCTGGCGTCTGGAAAGTCATCTTTAAGGCAATATCAGGTAAGTTTCAAACGATTGCCAACTTACAACGAGAGGAGCAACTATGGTGTACACAGATGCTATGCAAAGTAGAAAGCCGTAATAGAATACGAATTTGGCAGCAAAAGAAAGTGAAACAATGAATGGCAGACGGAAAAATTTGATGACGAAGTAGTGGAAAACCTAAATTGGAACCACTCTTTAAGAAAGTCATTGGAAAATATTATAATCCCCACCTCAGCTGCTCCTATTGTCCACCTACGAACTTGACGCGCCCATTCGTACCATTCGTCAATATAATTTTTCCCTATATAGCCGATATTCAATTCATTGATAGGCTAAAAATAGCGCTGACATGTTGATCAAGACTAACCGCTTGTCGGCCCACTAAGAGTGGCAACCGGAATTGGACGGATTATGCACTTTCGCCTGACAGCTAATGACCATCTGATTAACGCAATTATATCGTCCATCTAAAAAATGCTTCCATTCAAAATTCTCACGAGAATTATCTCTGAAATAACAGCTGCATGCACAACTTTTCTTTTTCATTTCCCCACAAGATTTCAAATATTTCTAGCGGAAGTATTTCAGAAAGCTACTTTGGGATGAGTTCACAGATTTTAATGGTTAAAGTGATATGAGTTTACTCCTTCCCATCTGTTTCCAAGTAGGATGAGAACTATCTCGCAAATCCCATTGGACCCATCAGGTCTATAGAGCTAATTTTTAGGTGTTTAGACAGCAAACAATAATAATACAGATGGTATAACAATTTTGCAAAGCACTCAATACCTTATTCTAATCACTTTATGTCAATGTAAAAAGAGTACTGCATATGAATGCAACAGATGAGTGAAGAGGAAGGTTCTCAAGTTACGCCAATACTACATTCGCTCTAGACTTTACTTATTCCACAAACTTTTCAAGGTTTGCCCAGACAAAAATGTTGATGTTAGACGCAAACGGAAAGCTTCCACGCATTAACAAATAGATGAGAACTCTACAAACATAGTTGATAACATTTGACCATTCTGCAAATTATACACATTCTTGCGCATGACTAATTATGTGAACTTCATCAAATATTTGTTTTCTAATTACCAAATCTAAAGGACTGGTTGCACTTGTATGCGTTCATAATTTGGAATTAATCGTGAATCGATGACAATTATTGCTGCGACTCTTCAGAGACCACAAATTGATACTTTTTAAAACGCCGCTCCCAGTTTCCATCATAGCAAACATTGCATTACTCAGAGACATCAAGAAATAAAACGGGATCAATTTTCTTGATTTTGTGTCACTTTCACTAAGTGATCTTGTTTGCTATAGTGATAACGAGAAACATTACTACTTAATTTTGCAAGAAATCTAAACAAGACCTGATAGCCTGGATGCGTGTACTCGCCCGCTTCAAGCAATGGCAGAGTAAGTGAGAAAATGCTCATTGTATTGATATTCCATGGTATCAAGTATCCCATCATAAAGAATGCCCTGTCAATGAAGTTGGTCTTTCGACGTCTGGAGTCAAAGTTAATTAGCGTAGCGAACCTCAGCAGACCAGTGACTCTTACAAAAAAAGGCGATTTATCGAGATTGATGCAGTAGAATAGCGGTGACTGCCAAACTGTAGAACGTCGTTGCTACAAACACAACACATAATAAGCATAGCCAAGTAAAATGATAGTGTCAGCTAAACCTCAGCAGTGAGGTTCCAATAGTCCTCCTCCATGGCATCAAAATATCTCTCTCCAAAAATCGAGTCGCAATCGCCGGTTGTCACGAGAAGCTCTACTTTACTGCCAGATTTGTCCAAAGGATAGTCCTGCAGCAAGATTTTAGTAGTTACGACCATCACGGCAAGGTTTGAGACAACAAACCTTGTCAAGCCTTAATTGCTTGATAGCTTGGCGACAAGCATAATTGAAGTTTGAACACTTTCCTTAAAGTGAAGACAGCAACTCTCAATCATAGATAAGACAAAGAGATTAAGAACGTTTTGCTTACCAGGTATGTCTCCAGGAAGCCCTTTCGGATGAAAAGTGACTATAAAGCGATCAAACTTCGAGTCGTACTTCTCGTGAAGAACTTGCTTCTTCTTAACAAGGATTTTACATCTGAGCTTTGTCTTTATAAAGTACGATGGCATTATTTATTACCTTTTCTTTTTCAGGAGTGCCGCCTTCCATGCCAACTAAGCAGGTAATCTTCATTTTGGCATCCGGCTGCGAAGCGATACTAAAAATAAACATGCAACTTTTTGAAAAGCGGTTTTTTTTAAGCGTCATACCTATCTACGGTGTCCATAACTAGTTGCAATGGCTCTTTGTAAATGCAAATACCCACCAAATGCTTCACCTGTATTTTCTCCGGGTTATGAACCTAGAACAAAGGAAAGCGATAGCTTTAAATAATGGAAAGTGTTCTACCCGAACCTTGCTGAGATCGATCTTATGGCTCGCGTAAGTTCTAAGGCGCCACGTATACCTCAGTGCATTGAAAACAGCGATCATCCAAAGGAGATGAAGAATAATGCAGATTATGGTGACGATTTCTAGGGCGAAGTCCTGTGAAGGAACTAATACTAAATATCTCAATAACAGTCAACTTATGACTTACATTTAAAGCAGGAATAGCAGGGACCCATACAGACGATGAAATGAAGAGAAATATTAGGAAAGTAAATAGTAAATTCCACCTGATGTAGTGATTCGCTGGTTTTGCTACTCGACCCGCATACGAACTAAGTCTAAAACAAGATTCACCCTTATTTTCTGCTAGCTGATTTTTGTCTTCTTTGTGGAACATATATAGACAAGGATGTGTAGCATGGTATACTTGAATTATGACAAGTTAGTAAGAAGAATGAATGTGTGTAAGAAAAACTGACCTTCTTAAGCTTCCCTTGAAATTTTTCTTGATAGAGTATTTAAATTTGTTAAAATTGCTTTCGCGACGGTAAGGAAGCCTACCTTCCGGCAATGATTGCGATTTGCACTAAACACAACTTTTCTCTCTTCAACTGATTATTCTGATGAGATTAACTGACCGCTTTCATCTTTATTGGAGACTGCATACTGTCGATACGGATTTCGTTCAAATCGTTCGGTGAAAGAGTTATGGTGTCTCTCATATCTAAACTCTTAAAGCGTACTTACACCTTAAAAAAGACAATGCTGATTGAAGTATTCAATATATTTTGTTAAAGATATGGAAGTAGTAAAAACAAATGTCCTAAACTTGAGCTCCAAATAATGAGCCCACAATGACCTTTGCCAGCTCCTAAATACGCAGTACTGAGGGCGGTCCTCGCGGGGGTTACATCACAGCCTATATTGAAACAGGCTTCCGGTATTGTGCAAATACATGAGTTATAGCAAAATGTGCAGACATGTTATGGAAACATAATTAACCTTTTTGAGTGATAAGCAAACTGATGTCATTCAGCAAACAAAGTTATGATAACGTCACGCTTATACTCCTGGAAAAATGACGTCTTTCTCCCTATTCTTTAGCATTTCTTGAAGTATGAGTCAACAATGTTACTTTTTCTTTCAAATTCGATGATAACAATTCTATGTATTAGCGAATATAGAAACTTTACACTTGTCTCAAATGACTTTTGGTAGCCGGTATTAGTGTTTCTAACATAGGAGGCGCAAGAAGAGTCTTTTCCTAATTCACTGTAAACTACTATAGAAGAATTTGAGAATATTGTGAAACACACAGCAGATCAAGAACTGACTGGACATGCTCGGTATCCCTAAGGAAGACGTAAAATTGTTTATTGTACTGGTTGGTGTGAGCCGAGAACGGTTACGATGAATAATATCTGTCGAACCGTGTCACCTCGGACAACAATTCTTCCCACACATTTGTCTGGCAACGGCAGCGGTCAAGAGAAAACATAAACAACTTTAGTTTGAGTTACGCACCTTTTTTATCCTATGTGGAACTCCCTACAGGTAGTTTTTTAAGCAAGAGCGGTAGAGTAGCGACATGAGAATGGTAAGGTTGTAGATGGCAATGGATATTTGCTTCACAGGTGATATATCCTCATCAAACAGTCACGCCGTTCGTCGAAAGATTTGCTGTTAGCTTAAGATTGCTTACCTTTTTCAAAATGTATGGGGGGTGCTTCTTCGCGTGCTCAGAGTTCATAGTTCTCGGACCTTTTTTTCAAAGTTATCTACATCTTCCTTGTTAAATGTTTGACGATATCTACCACTGATTTTTCTATATTCACCGGAAACGCGTCTGGTTTATCTGGCAATTCCCAATTCACAACATAAATTTCCGCCCTCGAATAGTGTCGTCAAGTATGCCACGAAAAAAAACAAAAGATGACAACTATTAGCGCCCACACTATATAAGACTCTTAATCACAACTGCTCTAGCCTCAAAAAAAAGGGACAACTAAATTCTCTGATTAAAAGTATCACCACACTAGATTAATTGAAAACCAATGAAAACATTCGACGTGTTTCCACTTTACTCCTAAATAATACACTAGCATCTATCAAGGGAATGGCATCCCGGAAATACTACGTACTCTTTTTTTCAGCTCTGTTTACATAATACGGAATTTCGGCCAAATGGTACAGTTCAAGCGTCAAAAGACTATGTTAATCCTTCCTGGCGGAAACATTTTGAACCTTGTATTCTATGTCACTACATCTTCAGTCTTTGCTCTAAGCAGAAGGAGGCGCAAAATGCTCTGTCCAAACACCCACTACTGTCGTACATCGCCCACAATTCTATTATTCCAACTTCATGTAGCGTTACGTGATGTCATTGCAAGCGAATTACCGAGATGAGTCAACAGCGTCAACCAACCATACTTTTGGTATTATTCGACGAAAATCCAAATTATCTCGCAGAAACTACAGGAAATTTGACCATATTAGTGAGGGTAGCAGGGGAAATCATGTTTGGCTGCGGTAATTTGTGATTCAGAAGGATGACGCATAATTTACACATACCTTATTTTATGCAGTTGTACTAGCTGTTATCAGGGTGATGTGTAAAGCTATTTTTTTTCTTTACAACTTCATGATATTATTTGACCTTAACGACTTTCTCCAATTTGTTTTTATTCGGAGGAGTAGGTAATGGGCTTTGCAACAATACCTGATTGGAGTGGAGTGGTAGCAAATCTTTAGGAGCTATAATATTCAATCCAAAAATATTTTAGAAAAGCTATCAAGGGGACCGCTCAAAATGACACTTTTGCATTGCATACGCCAAGACCCATGCTATAAGATGGCAATGCAAATTTTCTGAAGCGCTGAAACACTCGTGGCTAACATCAATTTGAGACCCGCACTAAATCTTTCCTTTTTGGGGCGCCCTTTGCGCAATGAATAGAACTGCAATTTGAGATATGGGGAAAAATTTGCAAACAATTTAAAGCAAGGGCGAGAGAGTTGCTGCGCAGTGGAAATAGCCCATGTAT